ACACCTGCCCCACCCCCCCGGGCGGCTACGAGTGCCACTGCCATGCCGGCTACCGGCTCCTCGACAAGAACAACTGCGTCAAAATCCCGGAGGAGGACGAGGAGGGGGCGTACTCGGGGGATTTCAGGCCCGGGCCCCAGACGCCTGTCCCCAGCTGGAGCCCACCAAAGGTGGAGCGCCTCCACCCGGGCATCGCTGTGGGCGTCCTCTCGGCGGCCCTGGCGCTGCTGGCCCTGGGGTACCACCTGGTGAAGAGCTGCTGCAGGCCCCCCGCCACCATGGATTACAAGTGCAGTTGCCCCCACGAAAAGGAGATGGGACTTCAGCCGGTCGCCTCGGCGTGTGCTGCCTCCGGCCAGAAACTGTAGGGACACCAGGATGGACAGAGAGAGGGAGGTGGGTGGAACTGGGTAACATTTACTCCCCCCTACCCCAACTTTTTAATGATAAGGAGAATTTGGGAAAAGCTGTGATCACCCCTGCTTCCAAAAATACTCGCTGCTTTCCAGCCGGCTCTTGCAATACTCACGCCAGAGAGTGGGGAAGGTGGAAGGCACAGAGCGCTTCTCTGTTTCTGCTCCCATCACAGGCAGTGCTGGGCTCTTGGCTTTCCTTTTCCCAAGCCAGCATTTGGGGGGGTGCTTTCAGGGAAGAGCCCTGTGTGTGTTACAGGACGGACGTCTCTGTCTGGAACTGGCCGTTTAAATCCACACCGATGTGGGGCGAGAGCATGCGTGCCACAGGTGGCCAAGTAGCCACAGACCGTGGAAGGTCGCCTGGCCCCAGTTTCCCCTCGGTTGAGAGGCGTGCTGCAGGGCTGGAGGTGATGGTTTTCCTGGGGTGGTGAGGAGCTGGGATGCTCCTGGTTTTGTCTGGGTTCAATTTATAGTTTTTTTAAACTAATGGGTGATGGAAGAAGGAGCCAAGATCTTGTGGTCAGCACTTTGCCTCGCTCCTCTGCCCCCCTCTGCCTCATTAGCAGAAATCTCGGTTTCTGTTCCCCCCACCCCTATCTTTTGCCTCTCACCTCTGGCAGCTGAGCACTTTTCACCTTAAATCGCTAGCAATGATGGGGACCCTGCTGAGCTTCACCGTGTGAGGGCTCAAATGCTTGATTTCTATTCCTTTTTATCATTTCGGGGCTGTTTTTGGGGGTGCGGAGGTGAAATGGTATACCAAGAACACCAGGGTAATTTTTTCTGTGGTAGGAAGGGTCGTGTGCAGCGCCAGAGAGCGTTATGTTCCCCACACAGTTTCTTCCGTGATTTTCTGCGGTTGTGGGGTTAGATGGTTTGGGTTTTGGTTTTGTTTGTTGTTGTTTTTTTTCCAACCCGCTTAACGGACCCTTCCTGTCCGCCCTTTTTTTTCCTGTTTTCCCTTCGGTCTTGTCCAGATCACAGCTGAGGGCTGAGTCTAATCCATGCCGAAGCTCACGGCAAAGCTTTGCCAGGGGGCAGGGTCCGGCTCGCTGCTTACTTTCCAGCCACGGACTGTGAAAACCTGGGAAAACTGTTTTATGCATTTTTCCAGCTCCGTCGTTCGGTGGGGAGACAAGGGGCAGCTCTGCAAAGCCAGCATGCTGCTGGGGGGGTTCCTGCTCTGTGATGGGGTGAAGCCGGTGGCTGTTCATGCAGGCACGGGGTGAGCGGCGGAGCGGGTGCTGACAGCTTTATGCCCGTGAAATATCAGCCTGCGGCAGCACTTGGCTTTCCCGCGGGAAGTTTTGCAAGCCTGGGGTCAGAGCTTGGGAGGGCTGGACGCTGCAGAGGGGCTGCGGAGCTCGGAGGGCTTGTGTCCCCCCGCATCCCCCCTGACGTGCTCAGTGAGCTTGCTATCACGCAGCATTTCCCCCTCCCGATATGACAGAGCTACGTTGCAGCCTCCAAGGAAAATAAAACGATAAGCATTGTAAGAACTGTAGCTTTTCTAATGTAAATGATTCAACCCACTGTTTTATACATCCGGCACATTTGTAAATACTTATTTATTTATTGGAAATATACCCTACGCAATGCACAATCACATGGTGATTTTGTGTGTAGACCAATAAAGCTTTTACAGTCTGGTTTACAGAAAGCTGCTGATGAAATATTCTTTCTCCCCCTCCCTAAAACGACTCTTTTTCCTCACTGAGCACCAGCCCGTCTCGCAGCCAGAGCTCCAGAAGTCACAAACCTCGCTGGAGCGAAAAAAAAAGGAGCTGTGGGCTCTTAGCAGAGCATCAGGCTGAAAACATTGCCCCTCTGGTTATTTCACCACTGTGATTAAAATAGAAGGAATGAGCCATAAATAATGGAGAATGAGGATAACATTAGAAGGACAATGTTAAAACCAAATAAGCTGAAATGGCTAATTTAGTGCTACCTCCGTGCAGCGAAGCCAGTACAGCCCCAGTGCTATTCCTTAGCTCAAGTTTCTGTGGTACCATTGATGTTTACCTGTGGCAAAGAGAGTGGGATTTGGTTCTCCTGGGTTTCCTTGTGGAAAATGTAATTTTTGTCCTGTGTGTGCTAAAATCCCTTTGCCTGGCAATTTGGTGAGGCAGGGGAGGTTTATTGGTGGGACCTAAGTTTTTTTCCTTTCCCCATTAGTTGAAGAGAGGTTCGGGACTCCCTGGCACCTTTCAAGGCTCGGTTTGCGTAGCCTCAAGCTCTGATCTCAGTTGCTCAGATACCCCCTTTGTTTACATAAGAGGAACCCAAAGGAGTCAAACTGATGCTGTGCTCTCAGTCCCCTGCAGAGCTGATGCAGAAGTCCAGTCCGGTCCCACCCCCTCTCTCTGCTATTAGACGTAGCGGGGCTGGTGGGCTTTAGGACTCTTCTCCGTCTTTCAGCACACGTTTTGGGAAGGAACGGGAAGCTGGAGTTTTGTTATTCTGGAGGGACACCTGCCCCGTGGCTAGTCACTGTTCACTAACGCATTTTGAAATCCTCACCATCCCTCATCCCAGTGGAGGCTCCTCGCTGCTGAAGGTAACGGCAATAATTACTCAGTTGACATAATTAACTGTATCAGGGGCCAGTCTTATGGCTTTTTATTTTGTTGAACCGCACAGCACAAGTGAGGACCGGCGGCACGGGGCATGGCACTTTGCCCCCTCTCCGGCCAGGGTCCCCTTCTGCCCGTACTTGTGGAGATGCCCACCTGGGGGCCAGCAAGGCTTGGGGGCACCCTAGAAGGTGGTGGTCTTTGTGAGGAGGGGTCCGGGCTTGCAGCAGGGCTCGGGGTGCACGGGCTCCTGCTGGCAGGGCAGGGGTGGGCACATGCAGCCCTTGCCCTTGTCATCCCCCCGGGGAGTGGCGCAGTAGTCGAGGGGTTCTTCCTCCTCCTCCTCCTCCTCAGCGTCCCCCTCCCCAGAGTGGCAGCAACAGAGGCTGGCGTCAAGGCAGCGGCGCAGCACGCCATGGAAGGAGTGCCGGAAATTTTCGGAGAGGAAGCCATAGAGGATGGGGTTGGCACAGCTGTTGGAGTAGCTGAGGATGAGGGAGGCGTTGTTGACGGTAGCATCCAGGCGTCCGGGCAGCAGGAGGTTCACCAGCTGCACCACGTAAAAGGGCATCCAGCAGACCACAAACATGGCGACCACCATCAGCACCAGGCGCGTCAGCTTGCCCTCGGAGCGCCGGCGCTGCTGCCAGCCCACCCGCTGTGCCACTGCCCGCATCTTGCCCACGATCAGCAGGTAGCACAGCCCCATGGCCAGCACCGGCAGCAGGAAGCCCAGCAAGGTGGTGTAGACCACAAAGGCGGCCGACCAGGCTGGGCTCGGCCACAGGAGGTTGCAGGCCACCGCTTGGCCATCGCGGGTGGTTGCCGTACCGGCGAAGATGGGGATGGGCGAAGCCACCAGCAAGGAGAGGAGCCACACGCCCCCGTTGACCATCTTGGCCACCC